ATTGCCCAGAAGCATGAACATGTAATATACATTGTTGTTGTTAAGATTTATATAGCATTTGATTCAAAATGGGTCTTGGGCAGTTCACAAGTAAAAACATTTAAAAAATCAAAGAAAAAATACAAGAACTGACAAATTGTAAAACAGGTGGAAACAGTAACAAAAAAATCCACGAGAGCCTTCACTCCCTCATGTAAAGAATCAGGTCTTCAAGGTCCTTTGGAACACCATTCTTATGGGTGTCACCTGGGGAAGGTACCTCACCCCAGGTGGTAAGTGCTGCTACGAAAAGGTGTGCTTCTGAGTTCCTGATAGATGACATTGCTTGATTGAAGGTATCCAGAACATGCCAACCCTGCAGTTTGAATTGAGTCCAGTCCACCCACATATGGTTAAAAAAAATCCCATTGAGTTCATGAGATTTTTTAAAAAGCTATCAAATGGAATGGTATTTTGAAACACAGTTTGGCTCTCAACTAGTGGAGACCATTGCACAAAGACTGAAAATTGCTTTTAAAATTGAGTTTTGCAAGTGCTGAGAGATAATGCAAGGCCTTGTTAGAACTTATATTTTTAAAACTATAATAATATTCATTCAAATTACACCTGATTTTTTAAAAAAAGATAATTTTAAATAAAATTTGAAGACACCATTTTTTAATTAATTTTTTGTACCACCCATCTTGTCTGGAGACATTTAGAAGCAACAATCAATCAACAGAAAGCAGGAAAAAATATGAAATTCAGGAAAACAAAACCACCTAATGGGAAAGCATCATATTGATACCCATCAGAAAAGAAAGGAAGGAGACACTAGTTAGTCTCTTGAGCAATGTACTTCTCTACTTAATTGATCTCCCAAAATTAGAGCTTTCCCGTCAGCTAGTAATTTCTATTCTGTGTATAAATTCATTTCATCCCCTGCATTTTTATAAAGCCACGTCACTACTGTTGTAGACCATTAGCCTTGAGAATCCCCACCCTAATACAGTCTTTCAAGAATCTGGATCAGCTACCTGATCCCTCTGATGGAAAATATTTTTTTTACATGTGTGCCAGTTGAAAAACAAAGGATTTTGTCATAGCCCACTAACACCCTTCCTGAGGCACATCAGTAGCTTCGCTTCTAATTACATTAGCCTTGATACTTTCATGTGAAAAGCCTCCTTTCTTATCTCCTTATCCAAATTTGTCATAATTTAGCTGCAGAAGGAATATCATTGCTGACCATTGATCCATGGAAAGACCTTGATAGCCTAGAGTTTATTAAGCAAAGCTCATTTATACAACACAACGCTTTAGCCATTTCTACATTCAAAGGTTTCTGCACTTGGTTATCAGTAAACCAATAGCAATTTTTAGTAAGTTGGAAAATAAACTGCAATTAGGTTTTAGAAAACTGCCCTAGCTCATGTAGGGCAGTATTGCTAACTGTGACAGCCAGTCTCAAATAGCAGTTTCACCTATAATGTAATCTTTGATCCATTCAATGACAAAGATTTACTCCAAGACCTCCAGCATACAACGCATGTATTCTAACCCATTGAACTCATGACTTCTTCTGAAATTACATTTAAATCAAATTTAAAATGTATATGGTTTAGGAACATTGTACAGCAAGCAAGTCCTCATTCCAATATCCATTTTCCATATCATTCTCTCGAGTGTCAGTCAACCATAGAATAGATGCTACATGTTGGCAGTGCCTTCTATGTCACATCCATGCTGAATTACAACATCAGGTTACAATAAATATAGATTTGTATAATTTGTGTATATTCTTGAGATATTCAATAACTCCTGTTTTGCCCTGGTTCTTAGACAGATGGAACCTCTTCCAAGTAATTCCTTTGTACATTCATTTATAAAATTGCAAGTGCAAACAACACATTTAGCATAGCAGATAGCCTGGCCCAGAAATGATCTTTGTAACTCTAATCAGTTACAATGTCAGATCGCAGAGTATTGAAGGAGCTTATAAGTATAATAAAAACAATAAATAAAACATTGTTGCAATCAATCAAATGTATGCTGGCATATAGGAACAATACAACTCTATGTTTGTCAGATTGTAGCTTTTTCCAAAGACTTCCACAGTTCACACCTTTTCGTAACCTAAGAGTCTCATTTAGCATTCTGGGTGTCATATTCATGGATAGTTGAAGAAAGAATACATCTCACTGAATCTCACATCCATTTCGTTTAATTTAAATGCAGTTTCTGTCAGATAATACTCTCCAGCTCCACACAATTCTTGTTTTGTCTCATTAGGAATTCAAATTGGACAATAACTATAACTGTCACTGGGCTAAGATCAGAGATTGCTTAGAATCTGAGTTTTAAAAGCAGGGAATGGTAATAGAAAACCTTGTAAGAAACTTTAACAAATACAATAAACATTAAACATTTTGTTTAGGAAAATTAGCTTTAAGAAAGTCAGTTTCAAATCATTCCTGAGGGACCTCAAGTGTTAGCTTGAAGAGCTTGGGAGCCAAGGTGGCGCAGTGGTTAGGGTGCAGGCCACTTCAGCTGACTGTTATCTGCAGTTCAGCGGTTCTAATCTCACCGGCTCAAGGTTGACTCAGCCTTCCATCCTTCCGAGGTGGGTGAAATGAGGATCCAGACTGTGGGGGCGATATGCTGACTCTGTAAAACACTTAGAGAGGGCTGAAAGCCCTATGAAGCGGTATATAAGTCTAACTGCTATTGCTATTGCTATTGCTATTAGCTCCTCACCAAATCTAAACTAAGGCAGTCAATGTACAGGTAGTCCTCAACTTGCAACAGTTTGTTTAGTGACTGTTCAAAGTTACAGCACTGGAAAAGTGACTTATGACTGGTTTTTCGCACTTACCACCATTGTAGTGTCCCTGAAGTCATGTGATCAAAATTCAAACACTTGGCAACTGGTTCATGTTTATGATGGTTTATGATGGTCCTAGGGTCATGTGATCACCTTTTGCAACTTTCTGACAAGCAAAGTCAGTGGTGAAGTCAGATTCACTTATCAACTGTGTCACTAACTTAACAATTGCAGTGATTCACTTAACAACTGGAGCAAGAAAGATCGTAAATTAGGACAGAATTCACTTAACAAATGTCTCAACAACAGAAATTTGGGGCTCAGTTGTGGTCATAAATCAAGAAGTACCTGTATCCAAAATCAAAATTTAATATAGACTGTTGGAGGAAAAAATGTTACAAATACTTCTAGTAACCATCATGTTGCTAGTTCATTCATGCAGTATTTTCAGTAATGCAATTCCAAATATATTAAATGAGAGAAGGAAAATAAATATAAAGCAGATAACAAACTACCTTATGAATGTAATTATCAGAGTGAATACTGCTGTATGCCCTAACATACCCTATTTTCATCTCCTCCATCCCTCAGAAAACAGGATCAAACACTAAGCAGAAGACAATATGTCAGTCATATTGTCTGCCACTGCCACAGACAATTTTAGCTCTCAGGAAATGGGCTCTGTATTTCATTTAACCATTTTATTTAAGTTTATCTTTCATAATAGCATTTATTTTGAGTAATTGTTCTTACAATAACATATTTATTATATTTCAAACTGAGCTAATAATGATTTCTTTTGCCTTTGTAATATTTTACCAAGCTTTTGTAACTTCATTTTTGTTCTCTTTGGAATGAATTTAAGAACCTGCTGTAAATACTGGATTATAACAATCCAGTTGATTCTGAATCTTGTTAAATACATCGAGATAAGTGAGTCCAGGATTAAAGACTAAAGGTGATCATGTGTGCCCTACCTGCATGCAATGTATTTTGAAGCTGGACTCTTTGGTTACCCTAACCCATTAATTTCAATCAAAAACAAGGCACCTTGGGACTTTCTCTCTCAAACTACATTGAAGCTGGTGGAGCTTTTCCCTTGATACAACTTGAGGTTCTGTCAAGGCTAAAGTAGAGATGCAGTTCAGCACTAAATGTGCTGCCTTTCCCTGCTCCTTCCCTCACCCCCAATTAATCATCTCTTCAGTGGAAGATAAGATTAATCACCTGCCAGCTATAATAAAGAAGGAGGATAATCAGATAGCTGTAAAATCTTCCTAAGCCTCTCAAGGTTATTTGTGTTGCATAAGCTTTATTTCACTTTCAAAAGAAGCCACTTTGTGGCATCCTTCATTTTATTAATATAGTATTTTGTGGTTTAAAAAGTATTTTTGTTTATAAATTTCCAAGCTGCCTATGGAAAACTTTATTCCAAATGTTTTTCTTCACCCATAAATACATTCTGTCAGAGGAGAGCAGGCTTTGGGTGTTGTTTTGATCCCTCACTTTGCACATATAGTANGATGCTCCCTAGTTGGGGCATGAAATGTCTGCAAGAAAACAGCCAAGCTCAGAGAACACCAAGGACCCCACTGTCTTTCTCCTCCTCCTCCTCCTCTCATTCCTCCACTCCACAAACCATACCCCCTTCTTGCACTGATGACGTTCCCTAGTTGGGTCAAAAAACGTCAACAAGAAAACCACCAAGCTCAGAGAGCACCAAGGACCCCTGTCTACCTTCCCCTCCTCCTCCTCCTCCTCCTCTTCTTCCTCCTCCTCCTCTTCTCTGCAAACCCCACTCCCTTCTAACACAGATGACGTTCCCTAGTTGGGTTACGAAATGTCTGCAAGGAAACCACCAAGCTCAGAGACCCCCAAGGACCCCCGAGTCCTCTCCCCTGACCTCTTTCACCCTGACCCACAAATACTGCCTTTCATTTTTTTATTCAGCGGTAAATAAAAATGTACAGACATCGTTACATAACAACCATCTCTCCAAAAAGGCCCATTGAGAAAACAGAAACAGCTGGGATGGACAATGCAAAGCTCCCAGTTCAAAGCCGCCGAGATCCGCGTAGCTGACCCCACATTCAGTTAGTGGGTCTGACTGCCTTCCCAGCCCCCCTTTGAAGACCTCTGCCCCCTCCCCTCCTCCCTACCTCCCTGCTGTCCTGGCCCGCCGTGCGAAAGGGGGTACCTGCAATTCCTTTATCCAGGAGCAATGCCAGTAAGAGAGGCCGACCCATTTGACGAAGAATTCGCGCTCCGAACGTCCCTGGAGCAACTTGGGGGGCGGGTCGTCGGGGTTGCCCTCGGAGGGCAGGGGGACCGCCACCGGCGTGGGGGGCTCGCCCCATCGCCAGTGGAGAATCTTCTGGACCCGGCCTTTCAGCATGGGGCACTGCGGGCGGGAAGGACGGACCGTCAGAAATCGGGACGCTTTGTCTCTTGAAGGTTAAAACCTAGCATGTTTTTACGCCTGCACCTACCCGTTTCCCCCCCGAAAATAAGACCCTCCCCAGATAATAAGCCCAATCGGGCTTTGGAGCGCATACGCTGAAATAAGCCCTCCCCCCCAAAAAAATATTGCAACACAGCAGCAGCCATGAGGTGACCACGCTCACCCCCTCCTGCATCTCAAAAATAATGAGACCTCCCCGAAAATAAGGCCAAGCGCTTATTTTGGGGGGGGGTCAAAAGAACATTAGACCCTGTCTTATTTTCAGGGGAAACATGGTTATATAAGCCCTCCCCCCCTCCTCAAAATAAGTCGAATTTAACGCCTGCGTAGCCGGCCACTGAAGAAGTGGTCAAGCTGTCCAAATGTAAACCATGGGGGATGAGGCAGCGGTTGTAAGGGTGAAAAACAGTCCCGAGTCCCTTTTTTGGGATGCAGTTGTAACTTTGAACAGTCACTAAATGAACTTTTGTAAGTGGAGGGCAACCTGGAACGGGGAGGGAGAGCCACCAGAGTCCCAGTTCTTCTGGGTCCCACCAGATGGCGCTCCTCAAAAGGGGGAGGGGACCCCTAACATTCTCTGCCTCCCTGCTCTGGCGGGACGCATGGATGTCACTGGGAAAAGAGGGTCCTTCAAATAACAGGGAAGGAGCCACCACGGAGAAGGCCCTCCTTCTGGGTCCCGCCAGAAGTATAAGGACGACGAGGGTGAGGATCCACCCTCCCTCCCAGCCTCCCTGGTCATCCAACCGCTCCCTCCGGAGTCCTTCCCCCAGCGTCCTCACCGTGCAGCGGGGACACAGCCACTCCCCGTTGGGGATCTCCGGGAGAGGCGGGTTGAGGCAGTGGATGTGGTAGGAAGAGATGCAGGCGTCGCAGCACAGGAGCTCCCCGCCGTCCTTGCAGACCCGGCAGTATTCCATGTGGTCGTCCTCCTCTTCCTTCTCATCCAGCTCCCCTTCGTATTCGTCCTCCTCCTCCTTCGGCTCCCACTGCACCCCTTCTTTCTCCTGTAGGATACAACACCCCCACACACATACACAAAAGGAGATCTGGATTAGGAAGGAGGGGTCAGCATACAGCAGGGCTGGGGAGTTCGAAAGAGGAAGCAAAGCCAGAACGACTCCAGCAACCGCATGCGAGGATTTTGAAAAAGGGGGTAGGGCAGAGGTGAGTTCCTCCCGGTTCGTACCGGTTCGCCCGAATAGGTTAGTAACTCGGCCGGACACGCGACCGTACCGGTTCTATCCTCGGCGGCGCCGTCTTGATTTTCTCTTCTGCACATGCGCAGAACAATCTTCATTTTAAAAAATGTACATTTTGTTTCCTTTTTTAATACTGTGCCCATGTGCAGACCTTTTTAAGCGCAAATGCGCACTCGAGCAAAGTCAACATGGGCGTGGAAAATTTTTCGGCCGTCGAACCGGTAGTAATGCCGGCAGGGACCCAGCCCTGGGGTGGGGGGAGCTTTAAGCATTGGCATGCTAGAATTTAGGATTCAGTAGAGAGATCGGATTGCCGATCTTCGCAGATCCCCAGCATGACTCTCCCTGTTTACACGAGGGGATATTCATACGGTTCGGATCGGTTCGGCCGAACCAGTAGTGGAGACCTGCAGCCACCCACCCGCCACAGCTCCATGACATCCAAAGTAGCCTCGTTTTCGACACCGCGCAAGAGCAAAGGCACACGCACGAGGTACGGAAGGCCACACACGTGTGTGGAAGGCCCAAACGCGCGATGCGAGCGCGCTCACATTTGCGAACCGTCTATGAATCCCACTTCTGCAGGTAGTCCTCGACTTACGAACCACAGTTCGGCCTATGATTTCCACCGCGAAGCAAGGCAGCGGGGAAGTGAGCTTTGCCCCAGTTTCTACGACCTTTCTCGCCACGGTCGTTCCAGCGAAATCGCCGCCGTGGTTGTTAGTTCCCGCGGCCGTTCAGTGAATCACTGGCTTTCCCCCTTCGGACTTCGCTGGACTGAAGGTTGCCAAAGGGGGAATCACGGGAGACACTCAATCCCGGGGACACTGCGACGGTTATAAATACGAGTCTGTCGCCAAGTGTCCGGGTTTTGATCACATGGCCACGGGGATGCTGCAACGGTCGTTGAGTGTGAAAAAGGGCCGTGAGTCACTTTTTCCCACTGCCGTTATAACCTCAGTCACTAAATGCATGGTTGTAAGTCAAGGACTACCCGTACTGCTCTAGAGAGCTGATTCTTAGCCTTTGGAGTGAAGAAATAGACCAGAACCACACAACTGGAAAGGGACCTTGAAGGTCTTCTAGTCCAACCCGCTGCTCAAGGAGGAGACAAGTGACCATCTAGTCTCTTCTTAAAAACCTCCAGTGATGGAGCACCCACAAATTCTGGTAGCAAGCTGTTTCTCTGGCTAATTGATCTGGGATTATAGACTAACCAGAATAATAGAGTTGAAAGGGACCTTGGAGGTCCTCTAGTCCAACCCCCTGCTCAAGCAGGACACCCTATACCAATGATGGCAAACCTTTTCGGCACCAAAACCTAGAAGAGGAGCTTCCCAGAGGGCATGCGCACGCCGGAAAATGAACTTCCGGCGCATGCATGCACACCAGCAAGTTAGTCTTCCGGTTACTGGCATGCATGCACGCACAATGATCAGATGGCCAGCACGCATGCTCACGCCGGAAAGCGGAAGACCACTCTTCCAGTTTCTGGCACTGCCACACGGACCAAGGCCAGCTGAACATTGCGCGCACATGCGCTCCAGAAACCCAGAAGAGGAACGGGCAACTCCGTGCATGTCAGGTGACATGGCTCTGTGGGCACAATTATGGCTTTGCACCACTTCAGACAAATGGCTTTCCAGGCCTCTCTTAAAAGCCTCCACGACTCCAGAAGCCAACAGAAGAACAGAGCTGGAAGGAAACTTGGAGATCTTCTAGTCCATCCCCGCACGGAGGGTCAACCCAAAGGGGGGAAACCACAAGGCACCTGAGCACACAAGGGTCCTTCCTTAAACCCCAGTCCGTCTCCTTGTCCCTGTGCACACAGCAGCACCAGTCCAGTCCCTTCCATTCTACTCCCCCCACCCACGATCCACCCCACAATGTTCCCGAAGGGACCAGCCCCACGCATGCTTTGCACCTGGACCCACAGGAATCAGTTCGAACAAACTGATTCAGTTCATTGGGTAGCAATCCGAATTTCCCAGGAGGATCGGCGGATGCATCTCTTGGCAAAAAGCAGGGAAGGAAGGCTGGATGTTGTTCTGACTTCGGCTTCCCCAAACCACAAAGCAAACTCCTTCTCCTGACCAAACCCCCCTTTTTTATTAATTTTACTGCGAATTCTGCTCCTTCACTTCCAGCAAAGTCTTTCAAAGGAGGATTTAAGGTCAGAGACTTTATCTGGCTTGGAGAGCTGCCAGGCCGAGATCTGCAAAACTTGGCAAGGCGCCTCGGAGAATCCCGAACCAATTAAGCGAACTAATGGTCTCCTGCAAACTCCACTCCCCTGTCAAACTCCACTCCCCTTTCGCTCCTCTTTTATTTCCTCTGGGAGGGGCCATTCACCGTCCACCTGTGGCCTTACTCCCAAGTCGACCCCTGTTCTTTAGCTGTTCCCTTCGACTGGCAATTCTGCACATGTGCACACTGGGAAGAGGCTCCAGCTGTTCTTCTGCCTCACTGATGTCTGTCTCTGAAGGCAGCTGATAACTGTCGGACAATTCTGGCCCAGTCTCTGCCTCCGACACAGAGCCCTCATCAG